CCCAACAAATTTAACTGTTTCACCATCAGACTCACCCAAATTTTTCTGCACTATTTTCTTGTATTCTTCAATATTTCTAGAAATGAACCCTAATTTTAGAACCAACTAACAGCAATTTTTACTCAAACAATTTGGCTATTTTTGTCCCAATCTTCTGACGGAAAGTACAGACTGTAAACAAGAATTTATAAATGTGAATTTAAGATGAAAAAAGGGAACTGTTGGCGAAAGGTTTAATAAATAGATAAAATGAGTCTAACTGATACTCGTAGCATGTAATTTTCAAATTGGTAGTACAGTCATATTACTGGCTGTGCATCTTTTGCATATAACACTGCATATGTCTTGCATCTAGAATACAGTTATGAAGGTTATAACAGCCTTTACACAATTAGTTTGTAACCACACCTAGTTTGTTTCCTGTTTTACATTTACCTATTCAGTTGACCGATGTTGGTGACTCGAACTTTCACTGACCTCAATTTCACTCTTGAACTTTTAAACCCTACACATAAGTGTGTCACAAATATATCTTAAGAAAATGTGATAAAATTGCAGGAGTTAAAATAATGTAGCTTGGTGTGAATTGTCGGTATCATATTTAGGCCATTGAACCGAAAATTAAAGAATCTCAGGTAACTCATACTGAACCAAGCCAAAATTACTTTTGTATTATTGGAATTAGTGTTGTAAACAGCAAGAAGGTTCATGATTTATGGGATGGGATGTGACCTCTGATTACAGCTGTAAAGGTCATTTGGCTTGTGTATTTTATTGAGGTACAGTGAATTATGGGGAAAAATAGAAAATTATCCCACAGAAAAAAGACAGTTCTAAATTGAATGTCAGTTTTTCTTGAAATTGTTAATCTTACCAACCATCTATAAATTTTGTTCATTTTGAAATACAAAAAAATACTTTGACTGGGAGGAGCAATGCAAAAACAAAAATTACCTGCAAAATAACCAGTAACAATGAGGGTATAAAAAAAAAAGATGCATCATTTAATTTAATAAAAATACTATCAATTATGTTTTACTGGGTTTTAATTCCGCTATCTTCCCTGATATTGTAAAGTGAAATCGCAGAATTACAGTAAAACTACTGGTTTAATAAATATACACTGGTTCTGTCAATATCATACTACCAACAGTTTTTGTTATTGACTCAAGGTTGTTTTGATATACTGGCTGATGCAATAACTGATTAACATAATATATTAATTTATTCAAAGGTCAAAATTAATATATTACCTGATTAAACAAGTGAATAAGGCGATGACTTTAGAGGATTACCAGAGTAAATTCTAAATAAATTGACCTGGATATTCATATATAAAATAATTAATTAATTACTATATTTATTTACATTTATTTTATTATGTGCATTGACAGAAGATAAATCGTTATTTTCAATATGGTAGATTGATTATTTTTTTTACTATTAATAATTTTTATATTCCAATCTGTATTTTAAAAATTGTTGTACTGGATTAGAAACACACACACAAGTATATGTACTCTTTTTTTTTTTTTTTACCCTTCCTCTGTGCTTTTGTGCTATGGATGTAGTGTAATCAAATAATAATATAATAATAATATTTTTTTTCTTATCACAGAGAAGTGCCCAGTATTTGCATAAAGAGTTACCAGTGCGTGTTGCTCACCGCATCGTAGCATTTCGTGGTTTGCCATTTATCGTAGGCTGCAATCCAACTATTTTACAGGTTCATGAGCTGTACATTAGAGCATTCCACCTCACCTCTGAGTTTCCTCCAGTAAGTCTCTTTTTAAGATTTGTTCAGCATTATAAAATAACTCCAGCTGTCAGTGTTTGTTGGATTAATAATTGCGTGTTTGGAAATGTACTCTTGATTGCTGCATTTTTAAATCCATGAAAATTTCTAAAAGGTTTTGGTATCATGTTCCATGTAAATCAACTTAAATTCTGAATCACCTTGCATAGCTATGGAGATGCTATGTGAGGGCATTAAATCATTGGGTGTCGGATGGACATGCCTAACTAGTGAAAAACTTGATGTTAACATACTCCCCAATGAACCTATACATGATTCGATTAAGAGGTCATGTATTTGACCTAAATACATAAATTGATGTGCCTCTAAAACATGTTGACCAATCGGAGTTGGTGCAGCGTATGGCAATGGATGTAAACAAAATTGAAAGATGTTGCATTGCCAAAGAGGGCACACACGCTTTCATACTCGCTCACTGAGCAGGATCTGCCAAAGTATAGTGGTGAGCTGATGGCCAAATAAGTGAAGATGGTTGCAACCAAGAAACTGGCAGGTTTTAAATTCCTAAAAGACTGCTGTTATGAATTATACACCCCCTACTAATTTTAGATAAACAGTAGAGCCTAATTAGTCCCCGTTCGGACGAAGTCCGAAAACAGGGACTTATAATTCGGTCTCCGTCCGTCTGTGCGTCCGTCCGTGCGTCCGTCTGGAGTCATATCTCAGAATCCCTTGGACCGATTCTTTGCATGTGCCTAGTACTTTATGTGGGACATATGCACATGCAGTGGTTTAGCTATTCGATTCAAAATGGCCGACTGGCAGCCATCTTGTTTTTTCAAAATGTTGTATTTTGGACATGCTTTGTCAGTTTTCATTCAAACTTGGTACA